AAAAACCGTCCAATCAATTCACACAAAATTTTCACACAATGTTGGCAACACTGACCTGCGTAATCACTGACATTTTCGTACTGATATGCGCAATGTAAACAAACTGGCGCCATGTTTGTTATCAGCACGGTGATAATTTGGCGCGCAGTGTATATCTATTAATGTTATTTTCATTTTTGCTTAATTTAGACTACAATTTTATATATATATATATATATATATATATATATATATATATATATATATTAGACGAGCTATTGGGAATATTCACATAAATAAAAATGAACATAATACGACCTCAACTCTAAATATGTCAAACTACTATACTGTAATTAAATGCTTTCTAACTATAAGCAGGAGGAAAAAAATCTAAAAAAACTCATAAACACAAACATATCCCCCATTGATCCAAATAAAAAAATAAAATTAATTATATACTAAATTTAATACAACCAACCTTGTTGTCCAAAACAATTCTTCTCCATCAACTAGCGTCTTACAAAAGATCAACATCGTATATCAATTTAAATGTCTTTTGGGAGATTGCATCTCTGATAAAAATATTAATACGTATGTTGGTTTTATAACACCGCCGATGACGAGAAGGCTTACGTTTCACTTGAACGATCACAGTTCAATCTTAGAATATTTAAGGGAACACTCATGTTTACATTCAGAGTTCAGGCAGATATTAATCGAAAATAAATCAGTGCTTCATCAAGATAAGCAAAAACTTAACATTCTGGAAGCCCTTTATATAAGAGAGTTGCGACAAAAAATAAATAAAGTCAACTACAAGTACAGCAACAAAGTTCTTAAATGTTTGTAGCAGTAAAGTTTTATTGATAGGCTCCAGAGGCGGATATGCAATATAATTGGCCCTGATCTGGCATCTCGTCTACAGTCACTTTCTCACAAACGCGCCGTCGCTTCTCTTTGTCTGTTTTACAAATATTTTCATGTCAATTGCTCCGAGGAGATGCATTCGCTGGTTCCCAGACTTCATGATTTCAAGCGCCCTACGAGACTGGCATCCCGTTCTCACCCCTTCACTGTCGAAAGTCCTAAATGTAGCCGTCTCTTCTACTCCAATAGCTTCATGTCTCGCACCTCTCGCCCATGGAACTCCCTTCCCTATTCCAGTTTCTCTGAGAGCTATAATCTCCAGCTATTCAAATGTAATGTCAATCGACATCTCCAGTTGCCTTGATCTATCCACTACCCTTCTCCCCATCCTTTCTTCTATCACTCCTATCTGATCTTGCTCCAAATCTTCTGTAACCCCTTGCGTCCTAGTGAAACGCTTAAAAAAGAAAAATAATACTAAATTAAAAATCTTTTAAAAAATCACATACGTTACTTCCCTTGCATAGAGATAAAAAACTGAATTTACGGTGTTAACGCATAACACATCCATAGATATGCAACCCATGAAGATGGTCTCAGATAAGATTGAAATTACTTGGGAAAATAAAAAAAATATTTGAAAGAAAATTTTGGAATTTTTCTTAATTAATTTCCTACAGCTACCAATAAATTAACTCGTGAACTTGAAAGGATTAAACCTAAAATAAATAGAATAATACGTCTAAATTATTTAAACAGGCTTGAATAAAAATATATATATATTGTTTTCTGTTTTCAAAAGTAAATCATTTTCATCAAAAGTTACCTAACATTGCTTGATGACGGGACAAAAATTTTAAAGTCCCGAAACAGAGAAATTTCCGTACCGCAATGTAAAATATTTTCAAATAAATATATTATTAAAATATTATGCTCTACGCTGTATTGAAGCTCCTCCTTAGTTCCCTAATTGTCAGTAGGGGTCTCTCTCCCCATACTCTGAATATTGGGCGACTTCCCGACTCCTTGTGACGTCGTCCCCCGGTCGCAGCGCCAACTGTGACGTTCTATCCTGATCTACCATGGCGCCAGTTGTGACGTCCCCAAACAGCACCAATCGTGACGTCCTCGCCGCGGCGCCAAGTGTTCGCTACTCGCTGCTCCGTCCGGGTGTCGCTGCTCCAAACGTGACGTCCGCCTGTCGCGTCAGTCGTGTTGTCTCGTCCTGTGACGACCAACTGGCTTGGTATCGGTCGCGGCACCCAAATGTGACGTTCTAACCTTTTGGTGATTCGGGTGGGAATCTGGTTAGATTTGATATCAGCCTCGTCGTTCCCAACTCGCTTCCAACGCCTGGTTACCAAGGTAACTGCATTGATCTCCAGTCTGCCTACCCACGTTGTGAATTGATCTTAGACAGACGAGATCAAACAGTGGTTGGGGCCGTAATGAAAATTGAGTTCAACGGGGGTGATACCACACAAATATGCATAAAAGAGAATAAAATGAAAACTCAAAAAGTTCAAAGTATCAAAGAAAAAGGTAACAAACTTTATGTCTAGTTGTTCGATACATAGGACTGCATCTAACTCCCGACCCGTTCTGTGGATTGTGACACGTCGTTTCCGCTAGGCAAGTTTCAACGCTTCAAGTTGTTTGCTCTCTAAGAAATTGGTGTTTCGGTGTGTCTTTGGACGAAAGTCAAAAAAACTTATTTCGGTGGTCTGGTTCTAAGTCGCTCTTCAAAATAATTGTTTTTGGGTTGAAGAGGAGTCCGGAATTTTGCGTGAATCTTGGTCAGCTATCTCCGAGGCGGTTTCAACTGGAGACTGACTCTGGGAACTCAACTCTGGAAACTCGAGCCCGAAGTCTCATTTCTGCCTGTTGGGGCCTCGCTTTTATTGACGCCGACCAAAACCGGGGTGGTTCTCTTGGCGTCGGGGGGTTCCTCGATAATTCTAAATACATATCCACTTCTTTTATTTCTGGTTAGGGATTTTCCACTCTTTTCCATTTTTGGGAAACCTTCCTCCTCCCCACTTTCTCACCATACCTCTGAGGGCGTGAACTGCCCTCCCCACTTCTTCGTAGCAGCTTCTCATACTTATACTCTGGATGGGGCGTCGACAGCCTTCTTCGTGCGTCACGTGATCACTCTCGGCCAATGAGGTCTTGGTCAGGTATCTTTCCTCCTCCTTCGTGCGTCACGTGATCACCACTTGACCAATGATGTCTTAGTCGGGCGTGAACAATCCGTGGCTTTGTTTCGGGAAGAAAAAATATCTTGCTTAACTAAAAAAAAAACCCATCTCTTCTCTTTCCCTTTTCTTCTGCTTAAATCGCCGTTATCATTTCTCTAGCCACGGACAATATGACAACTCTTGTTTTACACGTGGTGTTTGTCAGGTATTTTATCGCTAATTTATCAAAATGGGTGGTATTCTTAACATGGCTTCAAAAATGAAATATCCCCAAAGTTTTCAGTCAGTCTGTCGCCTCCAAGGAAGAAAGAAAAACACTTCTGGTTCCCCATTCATTTTCCTTCGGTACATACTCCTGATAACATAATTTTATTATCGCAGGCCAAGTTGTTTCGTCGAAAAGAATTCGGTCAGCGCACTGCTTGTGTGGGATTTAATTTTTCATATCTGTCCAAAGTCCTTTTTAGTGGCCTGTTTCTCCTCACTTATCGAAAGAGCATTTTCACTTGAATTTTTTCCTGGACAGTGGTCTAGATAACACGGTCGTTATCAAAACACATCTGATTCCTTCTTTCTTTCCCTTTCTTTTTTACTCAGAAATTCCCTGTCATTGTAATAACACCCTTTTTCACTTGTTACTTATCAATATTTTCATTGTCTCTTAGCCATGTGTGTGGCTGTTTATCACCTATGATTCGTCTCGCCTTTTTTTCTGCCTTCCTTTCTTTCTCTTCCTTTCTCTGCCTCGTAAATGGTGCCACACCTCTTTCCTTCGGGCCTCGTGCCGCATCCCACCTCGCGTGGAGGTGAGGTAAATCCTCTTTTTCATTTCTTCATTTCAGCGACTACAATGTAAGCTCGCTTAGGAGATAGCGTTTCCCACTTGTGAGAAGACGCCATGAACATTATACACACATACACGTACGTACGAACATTCCCCAAAATTCGAGCATTCACCAAAGAACAAACACCAATGTTACACACACAGAAATGTTATTGTCCATTATATATTTGTTTATATATATTTATCGGTCTTGTTTGTCTTCTTTCATCTTTGGTTGGACACGACTCAAGTCCGCCATTTTTCTTGTTACTAGACCTTCTTCTAGCAGGAAATATAAACGCACGTGTTTTCTTTTCATCTTACCCCCCCCCCAGTTCCTTACAAGTACTTTTTAAAAAAGTAAATGCTAAAGAACTGTGGATTCTTAATCTGTCTGTCCTTCTCTTCATTTGTGTATATATATATATATATATATATATATATATATGAATAGTGGGCAATATATATATGTATATATTTCGAAGAGGATAACATCCAGGTAGAGCTCTATGACAAAAGGCTCAAACACTATTATTTCATGGTTATAATTTATTACATTCGAATCGTAATCACGACCCAATTCGTAAGACCGACGGGTTACTGGGTCTTATGAATTGAGTCGTGATTATGATTCCAATGTAATAAATTATAACCATGAAATAAGTGTTTGAGCTTTATATTATATATATATATATATATATATATATATATATATATATATATATATATATATATATATATATATATATATATATATATATGTGTGTGTGTCTGTGTGTGTGTATGTATATATATTAGGTAAGGTTGTGATCTCGTCAAGTAAATCATATAGCTGCTTTTTTATAGCCTTTATTAATATAAATGGTTTTCTTCCATGTGGCCTTCGGTAATTATGTTACTGATCATCGTCGGTTCAAGATTTCTGTTAAATTATCCGTTTAACTTTCATACGAATTTAAAAATCTTTGTTTTGCTTTTTCATTATCGTTTTTATTCATAATTAACTGTGGCTCTGAATTTTTGGCCGTTCTTTTCTTTCGCTCGATATTTGTCCTCATGGAAAATCCATTATAATTTCTGATTATCCTCTCTGAAAAGTTCTAAACACTTAATGGATATTATATCCATTTATGTCGCGTCGACATGGCAGATGTTTTACATACAAGACAGGGGAGGTTCTCTTTTCTTTTCTATTTGAATCCCACTGTCTTTTTTTTACCTTTCTCTCACTTATTCACTTTCTTTTAATCTATCTATCTATCTATCTATCTATCTATCTATCTATCTATCTATCTATCTATCTATCTATCTCAGTCTGTTCGTATCTATCTCATTCTGTTCATATCTATCTATCTATCTATCTATCTATCTATCTATCTATCTATCTATCTATCTATCTATCTCGTTCTGTACATATCTATCTCAGTCTGTTCATATCTATCTATCTATCTATCTCAGTCTGTACATATCTATCTATCTATCTATCTATCTATCTATCTATCTATCTATCTATCTATCTATCTCACTACTCTACTCAATCGTAATTGTTCTAACGAAACAAACTTCTGAATCATTATACCACTTGGAGATCCCAGCCGTTTGTCTGTGATGTCCATACAGTAAATATTCTTAAGGTCCTGATCGCTCCCTCCCCGCCAAATTGTTTTCTTCCACTTACAACTTTTATGTATTACTTATCTTTCTTTCTTTCTTTCTTTCTTTCTTTCTTTCTTTCTTTCTTTCTTTCTTTCTTTCTTTCTTTTCACGGTCATAATCATTTATGCACTGTTTCTCTTCAGGATTTGGTTTATTGTGACTCTCCACAACTTCCTGTCCCTTGTAACTCTAAGCAATGTTTAACTCTTTACCACCACTACTCTGCCCAGTAATCCATTTATGTAAACACAACGCAAACATAAGTTATTTTTTCTAACTCTCCTTCCCTTGTCGTCCTGTGAGTATTAAATTTTCTAAGCCGTCCTTTCTAATAATTCGGCTCATAATTTCATTTGTTTTTTTCTTATTTTAAGTAAGAGTTATAGTTTCCATCTCTCGTTGCTAACGTGATCTGTTCATGGCATTCTTAGCATCTCTCTCGAGAACCACATCTTCCTCACCGGTAAGAATATTGTCCAGCAGCCATTGCCGTACGGGATAATGTTATAATAAGTTCTGAGTAATAGCTTGACAAATATGGCCTCATGCCAGACTGAAATGTGTTTCATAAACATTGCAACATAATTGCAAAGAACTCTGTTTCTATTACTTTCTCTCACTCGAACATGTACACGGATTTTCTTTCTTTCTTTCTTTCTTTCTTTCTTTCTTTCTTTCTTTCTTTCTTTCTTAAATAGCCCACCACTAAGAACTGCAGCCTGTCTCTCTTCAATCAATCCTTTTCGAGGTCGACCAAATAGCGCCTCATTTCTCCGCCTCTGAAAAGAGACCGTACCGCTCATCAGCGCCTGGTCGACGCATGAGCGCGGAACGTTTTAGCGCTAATAAAAACCACTAGCAGACACATTGTTAGCGCGCCTTTTAGCAACAGACCAAAGCGATAGTGATCGCCTGATAGGGCAGCCTGTTTTACGACGCCGAATTTATAATTTTTCCATATAAGAAAATATAAAAAACAGAAGTAAAGTAAAAAAAAAAAAAACAAAATAAATAAATAAAATTAGACAAAAAATACATGAATGAATAATAATAATAAAATTCGGAAGATTTCTTCCTCTCTTAAAATGAAAGGATGTCATTGAGAATGCCATGAACGGAAAATGGATATAGAAAAGCAGATATATATATATATATATATATATATATATATATATATATATATATATATATATATATTTCCATAATATAGTTTTGCCTTAATGAGCTACCCAAAATTCATCCCCTAAATCTTCAAATATCGACATAAAAAAATAAAAAAAACATAAAACTAATTCTAATTCTCATAGTGAAATTTTACCGTATTTAGCTAAAATAAGTTAATCCTCCCCTTCTAAAACTGTTTATACTATACTGATTATAATGTATAAACTTAATCCTCCGTCTATTTATCCCCTACGTCTCTTTATAAAATCTTTTAAATTTATTTTTGGGTTCAGTCTTAATTTTTTCTTTAATTTTAAATTTAAGTTAAAAACTTTTGTTTTCTTCTAATACCCCATTTGTCGTCATAAGGTTAATATTCTGGATATTTTTAAAAAAAAATATAACCTCTGCCGTTGAAGATAAATACCTACCACCCTCCTTAACCCCAGCCTCCTGCCTAGCGTCTGACTGAAACAGGGGAAAGTGTAAACACTGTATTAGGTGTTTTCGGCAAGTTAAATTTTAAGTTGACCCTTTAGTTTCCAATATCAATTCCTCACAGTTAACTTTACTACTCTCCACTACGCCTAACCTTACAGATGTGAACTTCATTCTACACCGGGGTTGAAAAGACAGTCGACCCTTTTCCTCGTCTGCCGAAATAGCCTATTCCCTATATGAGCTAAAAGGATTGTTTGATTATTAACTATATTGCTCTGTATAAAACACATCGAGCACTTTTTTGTGGATCACTTCTAATATTTTTATATTTCTAGGATCCATTTGGATCATATACCAACGGATTTTTTACCTTACTATATATATATGGTGGACTCTCTCGTCATATTCGACGTATGAGGGTCAAGCAGCTCAGTTCCAAGGTACCGACAGCCCAGACACTAGTACATATGATTTGATTACAGTGGTGAAAACTTTTATATTTGTCCCACACAGAGAAACTATAAAACATGTATACAACAATTAGCATTGTGAAAATGAAGCGATAAAGAGTCTTACTTTTTATAATTCCTAACGGGAATATATATAATTTATATTTTCCTACGGGAATTGGAGTTGGCTGGATTTATATACTGTCTCTGGGGAGGACATATTTCCCAATGGGAAAAAGGCGATATGGGCTTGTGTGTTGCCCCATAGCAGCTGGCCTGGGAATGAGGATTAGTCTTTGCCCATTCTAAAAAAAGTAAACTGCTTCTGTTGACTCTAGGCGGCTAACTAAACGACTGACCGCTTTCGGCAGAATATCAATTGACGTCACGTGACTCTCGTGACTTCATCTCCAGCAAAGGGAGATAATCAGTTTTGCATCCCTACATGTATATAGATAGATATTTGAAGTGACAAAATGGAGAAAAAAAAAACAACTTTAAAATTCATTAAAATGTTTTTGACCATCGAAAGGGTTTCTTCAGTCTAATAATGCTTTTATCGACAGAATATGTGTTTTGAGGCGGGAAGTGCTGCAAAATACAAGAAAAAAAAAATGAAAATTCCAATTCTGCAAAGAGAATCGCTGAAGATACAGGGATGCGTAGCTTTAATTTGTTAAATTTCGGAGGCTTACACAGTAAATTTCAGATGCTTCCACGGTAATTTCAGTCTTCCACGGTAAATTTCAGAATCTTCCACGGTAGATCTCAGAGTCTTCCACGGCAAATTTTGGAGTCTTTTATGGTAAATTGCGGAGTTTTTCCACAGTAAATTTCGGATGCGTAGCTTTAATTTGTTAAATTTCGGAGTCTTTCACGGTAAATTTCAGAGTATTCCACGGAAAATACTCAGTCATCCACGGTAAATTTTGGAGTCTTCCACGGTAAATTTCGGAGTCTTCTACATCCAAGATCACCCATCTTCTTTCCTAACAAAGCTGCTGCTATTACAAACAATAGCAATAGTAATGAAAACATAAGCAGTTCGAAAGCTGAATGAGGTCGGTTAGGTTTCTTCATCTTTCACTCCTGCCACTACATATATTTTTCTGAAGAAGTCCTATTGAAAAACGAAGCGTAGGAGAATTTTATATTTTGCCCTTTCAGTTATCAACTATTAGTCTGTGATATAGATCTGTATATCAGACATATTATACTTAGATGCACAAATATATATATCTGCAAGCTTAGGAAATGTCACAGAATATTAAAATTATGAAAAAATGAACTATTGCAATTTTCTGCACGATTATTTAGAAATGAAGTAAAATAAACACAAAAAAACTGGGATATGGACACTGAGCGTGAAACCCTGGAACTGCTTAAAGAGACTCGTCAACTTGGGGGGAGAAGTGTGTGAAAAGAAATAATCTTTAAACACAGATCGACAAATTTAAATAATTTTATTACTGAGTATAAAAATAATCTTTGTTTTAAGTTGAAAGAAATAAGTTATAAAGTTCCTCGCAAAAAAGTCCATAGAAAAATTGTTTTGTTTTTCTTTTTACAACACAAAAGAATTGAATTGTACTAGTGTAAGATGAAAAGTATGTATGAAGTCAAAACGCGAAATTTCACGAATTACGTTATTTTATGTGTGCGTATGATGTAATTCATTCAGCAGCCATAATAAATTCTCTACTATTACTCTTGCTACAATTACGCTTTGTTTATATATATCGCTTGGATATATTTGTAATATAACTGTGCCAGTTGTCTTATGAAAATATTTTAAAAACAATAAATAATTTGTAAGAAGGAACTTAGTAAATTTGAGTATAGGAAAATTTCAATATTATTTGTTTGTAACAACGACGCTGATTGGTTAATGGGGAATTTGAAGTTCGTGGGAGCATATTTTTGCACATAAAGAGATTTTAGTGACACTACTTATATCAATTTAATTTTTATACAATTTTTAACGGGGTTCTACACATTCGTATAAAATATAGGACATTTTTCTGGGGAATAAATTTTGTAGATTAGCATACATTAGACTTTCTTCAAGGCGTGACATTATCGATTTAGAAGGGAGGTCGTTTTTTATAATACCGATACAGTATAAAATTGATCACAGGTTTTTTACAGAGTTACCAAACTTTGTTGTTATTTACAAATTTCAAGTTTGAAACTGTGCTTTATCATCATATGATATATATATATATATATATATATATATATATATATATATATATATATATATATATTCCCACATATATATATATTCCCACTTTCACTAAAATTTTCTTTTTTACACACGGAGTTATATTTTCCGATTTCTTTTTGAATTTGTAGGTCTGATAGATTGGATCGTGATTACGATTCCAATGTAATAAATTATAACCATGGAATATTGGTGTTTGAGCCTTTTATATTATATTCTTACTCTGTCCTGGACATTGAGTTCTACCTGGATTCTATCCTCTTGGGAATTTATATATATATATATATATATATATATATATATATATATATATATAGTTTTAAGGTGTGTTATATTATATATCATATATATATATATATATTTAAGGTTTGTTATATTATATATCAGATATATATATATATATTATATATTTATATAAAGTGCTCAATATCAGAGATAGAGCGTATGTAAATATAAATATAACAGTGTATATTGAAGTCGATTGCGTCTAGCATGAAACAGCCTGTCGCCTCTGAGTGTTGACATCAATGTTCACTTATATATATATATATATATATATATATATATATATATATCGTGGACTCTCCCGCCTACCAGGGATTGTTTTAAGACAGGTGAGGGTCAGGAATCTAAGTACCTAGGAACTGACAGCCAGACAACTTGCACATATCTTTTGATTATAGTTATGAATGTTTTGTGCAGAATCAACCACACTTTTTGAAAACCCGTGTGTCACAAGGTCCCCAAACGCCCATCCACAAGTTTTGAATTCAGAGCTGTCCTTCCAGAAGAGTTGCCATCCAAGGCTATAGAACCCAGTCTGTTCTGCTATTTACTCACAGCTAAGAAGGGAGAAGAAGAATATTCATACCTTGCCTAAGGATATTAGCACGTAAGTGAATGTAATTGATTCGACTGGAATCAATCCGAGCCGCTATCCATTACTCCACACTGCTTCCATATATATATATATATATATATATATATATATATATATATATATATATATATGCTTACGGCATTGTCATATTTAAACATAGGATAAGCAACGTCGATCCTGGTCAGTGTCTAGATGGGTGGCCGCCTGGGAATATCAGGTACTGTAAGAGTGGATGTGTGGGTGGTGTAATGAATAATGGATCGGAATTTTTAATCGGAGAGTTTAGTAGTTCCAATTTCAATTAGGTTCGTTATATTCACTTACGTGCAAATTTCTTTGGAAAAAGGTATGACTGAATCTCTTCTTCACAGGAATAAGGAGAGGACAGACTAGGTTCTCTAGCCTTGATTGTCAACCAGTCTAAAAGAAGAATAACTCTAAATTTAAAACCAGTAAAACAGTTTATCATCTCTACTACTAAAACCTACTTGCTACTTAAACAATACCAGTTCCACCTATTTATCCACATGGAGACT